TTGAAGTAAGAATAAGACCCTCCGGAAAAGGGCGCTTTTTCCGGAGGATCGGGGCCAGTCTAGACGCTCTTTTCCGGCTTTTTTAAAAGCCGGAAAAAAGCGGCGGCCATGTTTATTTAAATGCCGCGGGGGATATTTAAATCCCCCGCGGATTTCCCTACGACGACTGCTGAAATTTACATGCCCCTTACGGAAGAGGGGCCAGTGTAGACGTAGCCAAGGTGTATAGATGCGTTATTTTGAATTAGCTTAAATTGAAATAACTATTTCAAGTTAATTCGAAATAGTCTCTAAGGGTATGTCTACATTACAGCACTAACAAACAATGTAGATGTTATCATGAGCTTTTGGGGGCACAATGCTCATGATACCATCTACATTTTTTGTTAAGTCACAAAGGTGCTGTGGGACTATTTGTTATTTAAGACTTAAAAAAAAATTCAAAAATGGGAGTTTGGTTTGTATTTCCTTGGAAAAAGCATCAAAGCAAGAAAGGTGCCTTGGGGTTCATCTGACTCCGTCAACCCAAATTAATATTTGTATTCCCAAGTTTATAGAGAAGCCAAACTGCTAGAAGTGGAGGAAAGATCACACAAATGTTACAAAAGCTTCAGAGGGGCATTGCTAAGGACTGAATTGGCCTAAACGAAAAGCTCTACCGATTGCACGTGAGGACTGGGCCGAAGTCACGTGAGGAACAGGAAACTGGAAATTAACAGACCAAAACCGTCATGTGGATAATTAGGCCTTGCTGGGTCTGATGGGGTGCAGGAAGCCCCATGGCAGCGAGGCAGACAACACCCCTTTCCTGCTCCCCTTACATGCATCAAGCAGCCGTGGGAGGGTCTAAGCACTCCCTCATACCTGCAAAGACACAGATATGGATATCCATGGCTCATTGTTGCAGATACAAAATTTTGTATCCCGCAGGGCTCTATCTATCTCCTCCTCCAGAGGTTGTGGTTCCACCAGGATCTAAGGCCTGATGAATCATAGGAACTGTAACCTCCCTGCCCCAGTCCAGTGTGACCAGCACTTGTAACCCCCCTACACCCAAACAGCAAGATAAAAGTCTGTTTGGCAAGGGTGATGGGCACAGCCCTCGACAGACAGGTGCTTCGCCTTAGCTGGGGCTTGGTTTCTATTAAAATGGTCTCATCTCCTTCTGCATTTGGGAAAAAAGTGATCTGGTCTAGTCCTCTGTTGATAAACCTCTTTCCGTTCCAGGGGGCTCACAGGTGGGTGAGACACAGAAGTTCCTGAAGAGCTAAAGCGGGTGAGGTAATATCTTGGTCTGGACCAAATTCCGTTGGCGAGGACTTGTCAGGGCCACGCCATGTACCATAGACACAGCCTCTGCTGACAAGAGGAGTTCTTTACCAGAAAGGGCCACTCTCGGCACAGAACTGCCATGCTCACCTCATGCTTGTGTGAGGAACAGGGCTTTGCTCAAAGCCGCTCACAGCCAGTTCCTTCCCTCCAGCTCCAGGAGAGAAGGGAAGATATTTACCTTGAAAAGAATGTTTTCCAGCTCTTTATTCCACATCTTAAATACATTTACAGACCAGGTTCCTCAGGCATGGCCCAGAGGTGAGGGATGACACTTTACAGCCCACACACCAAGACGATACAGTTTTATTCCACAGACACTATAGCACTGTGCATAGGAACCTGAAATACACACAGCTTGGTTCAGTCCCTGGGGAACAGCACAGCTCAGCCATCCCTCCTTTCAGAGAAAGGCTAACTTGCATTTTCACTTCACTAGCAAACCAGGACTTAGTCAACATGATCAGAGGGCTGTGAACCCAGCGCTGTCACATGCTCATCAGAGAAAGGAGTCCAGCTCTACGCCCAGTGCCGAGAGGGAAGAGTGTTGCACTACAGCAAGAATGCCAGCCACTAGAAGAATGACACGTAACTCCAGGCACCGGGGCTTTCCCATTGTGCAGGCGAAAGACACTTGCAGACTGTGTCAATTCCAGGGACCCCACCGCAGCACCAGAGCAGGGACTGGTGTAAAGAATGAGCCTGAATCTCCACCTTGAGAAATCAAGACTCAGCACCAGCCTGTTCAGTCCACACTGTCCCCCTTTCGAGACAGCAGCTCCAAGGGAAGAAGGAACAAGTTCAAAGGGCAGACTCCCAGATCCTTCCAAACTTGCTTCTGAGCAGCTGCTGTAGGACCAGGGAGGGGCAGGGGCAGCTGACCATGAGAAGCTGATGACTGGTCTGGGGATGGGTGCACACTAGGCAGGGAGGTTTCCTGTGTTCCCTGCTCAGATTCCCCTGACATGCTGGTCCTTTCCTGGTGGTCACTTGGCTTTGCCAGTTCTGCTGGGGCCATGCAGCTCACAGACAGACTAGCAGGAGGAGGCGTCTCACAGCTGACACTGGCAGAAGGTGTCTCAGCAACCTGTTCTCCCGCACCGGCTCCTGGGTCAGACCCTTTCCTGCTCCCCTCTGGCTGCTGGGCAGTCAGTTCCTTGTAGGATCTCTGCATGTGGCTCTTCACTCCAGCATAGTCCAAGTTGCTCAGCTCTTCAGGGAGTGACATCAGCAGGTCCAGGACAACGGCAGACTCTGGAAGGAAGAGCAGACCTCGTCAGGCTGAGCTAATTTAAATCATCCATTGGTATGTAATCCTGCCTTGCCAATGTACTTTCCAGTTACTCTCCTAACAAGGAGTTGATCGGCATTGCCCAGAAACCACTCAGACATGCAGCTTTGCAGCTCACTAGAGCCTTCTCACCCAAATTGTGGCTGCTTTTTGCAAACAGGAGAGATGGTGTATTCATACCCATTTACACATTAGGAAATGATGTATTTCCTATTTACTAGAAGATTAATGTTTTACCCATGATTTCGGATCAGCTCCATTTGGATGGAAACCACGATTTGGTTAAATGCACAAACCCAACATGTTATGATTGAGTTTTTAATACATAAAAGCAACAAGCTGGATACAGAAGAAAGATAAACACCTTCTATATTTAAACCTGTGGTCCTTAAGAATATGTCTCGTGTTCCTTGTCACTCAGACTTCACAAGGAAAACAAATGCTCCTACTATTCCAACTCCCTATCAGTTTCGCCCTTTTGAATGGTCTGAATGAACTGAAAGTCTCTTTGCACCCATCCTAGGGAGAACTGCTGTCTTGTTTAGGGGCATAAGAATGGGCATACCGGGTGAGACAAATAGTATATCTAGACCAGCATTCGATTGTCCAACAGCGGCTGGTGCCGGAACAGGGCAGTTGTTGAGCGATCCACTCTCTGTTGTCCACTCCCAGCTTCCAGCAGTCAGAGGTTTAGGGACTCTCAGAGCATAAGGTTGCATCCCTGACCCCCTTGCCTATTAGCCAGCGATGGACCCATCCTCTAGGAATTTCCCGAATTCTTTTTTTAAACATACATACAATATGCTGGGGACTAATTTAGCTATAACTACTGAAGAGCGTGAACCTGGAGTCCTTGTGGATAGTTCTCTGAAAACATCCACTCCGTGTGCAGCGGCCATCAAAAAAGGCAAACAATGTTGGAAATCATTAAAAAAAGGGATAGAGAATACAAATCTATGGTACGCCCACATCTTGAATACTGTGTACAGCTGTGGTCCCCTCATCTCAAAAAAAGATATATCGGCATTGGAAAAGGTTCAGAAAAAGGCAACAAAAATGATTTGGGGTTTGGAACGGGTCCCATATGAAGAGAGATTAAAGAAACTGGGACTTTTCAGTTTAGAAAAGAGGAGATATGATAAAGATCTATAAAATCACGACTGGTGTGGAAAATGTGAATAAAGAAGAATTATTTACTGCTCATAAAACAAGAACTAGGAGTCACCACATGAAATTCATAGGTAGCAGGTTTAAAAACACACAAAAGGAAGTTTTTCTTCATGCAGCGCACAGTCAACTTCTGGAAGGTGAAGGCTAGGACTTTAATAGGGTTCAAAAAGAGCTAGATTGATTCATGGAGGTTAGGTCCATCAATGGCTATTAGCCAGGATGGGTAGGAATGGTGTCCCTAGCCTCTGTTTGTCTGGAAATGGGTGACAAGGGAGGGATCACATGAGGATTACCTGTTGTGTTCCCTCCCTTTGGGGCATCTGGAATTGGCCACTGTCAGCAGACAGGATACTGGGCTGGCCCAGTCTGGCTGTTCTTATGTTCCAGGCACATCCTGTTCTCCTGGCACAACCAAACCCTTCCTCTGATCTTAACTGAAAGCAGCGTAAGTTGTATACTGAATTTAATGGTCCTAGCTCTTACCATTTAGGAAGAGTTCCTGATCAAACAGACAAACTCTCTCTATATAGTAGACTTGGCAGCAACAAGTACTGTTTGAATATTTTTGTTCTTTAAATTGTTATAAAGGATTAGAGTAAGGTTTGGGTTCAGCACAGTTTGACGATTTTAGAGAGTTATTTTTCAAGAAGAAAAGTGTGATATATTTTTAAATTGTTTCCAAAACTTGTAGTCCCCATGATCGTGTCATTCATGCCTGTGGTACGGAGGCTGTGTTTTGGCCCTGGATGCATGAACAGATGTGTGCCCTAGGTGTTGCACCTGCACTAATTCCTCAACACAACCACACAGGGGTCCCTTCGTCCCAGAGCTGAGTCAGAAGAGGACGTGGACCCTCCCTGGCTCCATCAGCCTCCCCCCATGGGAGGGTTTGACTAAGCAGCACATGGCCACGGTGCATCCATCTTGCCACAGCAATGCTCACTAAGGAAAGGGATGGGTTTGCTGCAGCTGGGCCTGGAGGACCAGTGCTCTGCATGGAATTGTGTACCACTGTCTTGCTCACCTCTGTCTGAGCACAATGCCACTGATGACAAGGTGACCAGCACTTATCAAGCGATACACAAGTGAGAGAATGGAGAAGACAGAGGGGAGCCAGGACTCTCCTCTCCCCCTGCCACAAACATCATCTCAGGGCAAGAGCGACCCTGAGTACATACACCCACCCAGCCTCGAGGGCCAACCCCCCCAGAACTTTCTGCAGAATGGGCAGGATGGTCACAAAGGGGGAAGGGGAGGCAGCTGCTAGGACAGGGCAAACACTCCCCTCCCTCCGAGAGACGAGGGAGCAGATCAGTTTCTAGACGCTGGAGGAATCTACTGATGGACAAAGAGCATGAGGCAGTTACAAGATCCCAGGGCGTACACGCAGCACCTGTGCACATCTAGCTGGTCTTGGATTCATTTCCACAGTTGAGTCGCTCCACACATCACCAGGGCTTGCTGGGTTCCCACCCTGAGCTAAGCTATCAGTGAGGGATGGTTACTAGGGCCAGATAGCTCACCCCCCACGTGTCACCTGTGGGGTCCCCACTCACCGTACGGCGAGAGCTCAGGCACCTTCATGTCCTTGGAGAGCAGAGAGAAGTATTTATAGATCTTATCAAAGTCCACACTGAATGTCTCTGGTTCCCCCTGAGCACCAGTGTTAGGGGACTGACTGGCTGCTGGGGGCTCTGGACTGGCAGCTCCATTCCTCATTGCATTGGCAGGGGCCGGCAAGGCATCCCGCTGGCTCGAGGAGTCTGAATGAGCCTTTTTCTCTGCAGCTCTGGTCAGCTTCTGGGGAAGCGAATGGAGCAAAGTGACTGGCTCTGTGGCTGCGGGACATAAGAGATGCTGCGATCGCCTAGTGTGACCCCTGCATGACACAGGCTGCAGGACTCACTGGGATTAATTCACGTTTGAACTAGTGCAGAGCTTTTCAATACCCTCCCACTCCTGATGTTAAGTTACCAGTGTTGAGACTCCACTAGGACTCTTGGTAACCTGCTGAGGCAGTTAATTACCCTCCCTGTTACAACACTGAGCATTACTTCTACTTTGCCTCTATCTAGTTAGGAGGAGGAGCTCTGGAAGCAAAGGGAATGGGGACCCCCTTTGCAGGACAGCCCATCCTTAAGGCGAGACTGGGCAGGAGAGTCACCACTATGCAGCACTGAAGAGCATGCAATGAGATACAGGGGTTTCAGATAGCCTGATGCTCCCCAGAGCAATCTCCGACATCCAGGAGGGAGAGGAGAGATGCTTGGTTAGGAGCTGTGTGACAAAGAAACATTTTTGCTCACTGCTGCAACAGAGCGATCACTGCTCAGACCCTACCTCAAGCGCTTTGCCATGACTTAGCTAAGCTGTGCAGAAAACAGGAGAGAGAGCAACACACAAGGTCAGAACAGCTGGGTTCTACTCTGAGCGCTCTATGGACCTGCTGCAAGATACCAGGCAAGTGGTTTCCACAGTATATGCCTCAGTTTCCCTGTACCAACAGGAAGGAGGAACCACTGCTCAGGCACTGTGGGTGTGACGGACCCAGCGGGGTCCGCACTGACCCAGGGCAGGGAACCAACCCCCCAGCTAGGGGAGGGCAGACGGGCGGCACAAACGGCCAGAGTAGCCCCGGCCGGGCTGAGACCTGGCGCAGGGGGACGCGCCTGGC